CCCCCCCCCAAAGATTGTATATGTGCTTCTGCCTGTTTGCCAGGTGAGTGCAGGGAAGCCAGGTGTGGAGTTGACACCTGTGCCAATGGCGGCATGTGCTTCTCCAGCCAGACCAGTGGCTCCATCTGCCTGTGTCCCCTGGGCTTCCGCGGACCGCTCTGCCAGGAGTGTGAGTGACTGGCTGCATGCCCCACAGCCACCCTGCCTACATACAGTATGACGCATAACAGCTGTAGCTCATTCGTCCAGGTGCTCCATGTTTTTGCTCCCTCCCATCTCCCAGTAAATGTGAAATTCCTGGTGCTTACACTGGTTTGAGAAACTGGTTTGAGAAACACGGCTATAAAATAGCATTAAACTGGTTTGTGAAATGCAGCTATAAAATGGTATTAAACCAATTTGAGAAATGCTGCTGTAAATCAGTAGTAAACCAGTTTGAGAAACATTGCTATGAAAGTGTATTATACCGGTTTGAGACAGCTATAAAACAGAATTAAACATCTAAGATAATTCATGATTCAAGATACAGTAAAACCTCGGATTGCGAGCATAATTTGTTCCGGAAATGTGTTCGTAATCCAAAGCACTCGTATATCATAGCAAATTTTCCCATTAGAAATAATGGAAACTCAGATGATTCGTTCCACAACCCAAAAATATTCATAGAAAAATGATTAATACAAAACAAAAAGTAAAAATACATACAACAAAGTAACCTGCACTTTACAGTACCTTTGAAAAGAATTGTAGATGGTGTAAGGGAGACGAGAGAGAGGAGAAGAGGAGGGTTATTTTGTAGGACGACTTTCACTATAACTAACGGAATCACTGCTATCTGTTAGCTCACTGGAATCTTTTTCTTTTTGTGCGACTTTAACAAGGAACCTATCCAATGACAGCCGCTTTTGCCTCCTTTTCGATTCCACGGAAATGTAACATTGCATCGTCGTTAAACAGATTCATTGCTCGCACTGCTACGCCCTTATTCAGGTGGTGCTTTTCTACTAAATTTTGACTATACGAGTGAGGCATGCCGACTAAGACCGAGCATGGGAGATGCCAACTGAGACCGAGCACGGGAGACGATTACCCGCAATCCCGCAGTGAGAGAGAGAGAAGAACCGTCGGCTGAGTTGTGATCACGTGACGCTAGGCAGGCAAAGCGTATACAAGACCTCGCTCGTTTATCAAATTAAAATTTATTTAAATATTTTTAGCTCATTTTGCAAAACACTCACAAACCAAGTTACTTGCAATCCAAGATTTGACTGTACTTTATTTGTCACATACATAGTTATACAAGTACAACATGTAGTGAAATGTCCCCTGAAAGACCCTTAGACTGTGCAAATCAAAAATAGAATTATGAATAAGTCAACAGGTTAAAAATTTTAACTTGTTTTGAAACACTGCTATGAAATTCCATTAAACCGTTTAACCTTATACAGTATGTAAATGATTATAGATGCATACAGACGTGCAATATCACTTCTCATTTTAAAGTGGAATTACCTGCCATACTGACGCCAACCAGCCAAGTGGCAGTTCAACTCCTTCACAGTCACATGACTCAGTCACATGATGTGCCATGCATTGAGAACAAATAATCTGCTGTTCTCCTGCAGATTTCTTGCTGTCCTTGCCGCACTTCAATGAGTCTCTGCTGTCCTACTTCAGTGCCCCCTGGCCACAGTCCTCCCAGCACTATCTCTCTTTTATGGAGTTTGAAATCACCTTCTTTCCTACTTCGCCTGACGGCACGTTGCTGTACAGTGAAGACACAGGCAGCCGGGACTTCCTGTCAGTCACACTGGCAGATGGATCCCTGGAGTTCCGCTTTGATTGCGGCTCTGGGCCGGCCATTCTCAGGTAGGGGAGCTGCTGGGGCTGGTTAAACATCTAGAATTGCGATTGTAGGACAATTGAATCTTTCTGTCCTTAACAACTGATTTGGAATCAGTTAACACTAAGATATACAGTGCCAGGGGTTGGTTTGCTCAGTGCTATAATATGCAAAAGAGTTTTTTGGCTCAGTGCTTACCTCTTATTGGTTGGGGATGCTGGATGCAGGAGCAAGGAACCAATCAGTATCTTTGGATGGCACGAACTGCGTGTATCTCGCACAGCCAAGAGCGGCATCCTGCAAGTGGACAACCAGATACCCATCGAGGGCATAGCTGAGGTAGGGGGTGGGAGCAAAGGGGGTTGGACATTGAAACTGCTTCCCGATTGCCTGTTTTGGATGTAACCCTGCCTCTTGCACTCACAGGGAGCCTTCACACAGATCAATTGCAACACGCCTCTTTATGTGGGGGGCGTGCCCAACTACATCAGCACCAAGAGCAGTGCCTGTGTCCTGAGGCCCTTCAGTGGAAGTATCCAGAAGGTGTATCATCCATCATGCTGAGTTGACATTCACCCCATGCTGACTCCAAGACAGTAACAGCATGTTCTGTGTCTCTCACTTTTCCACCCCCGACAGATCCTCTTGAATGACCATGTGCTCCACCTGACCCAGGGTGCTGCGGTGGGTGTGAATGTGGAGAATGCGCGGCATCCCTGTATAGATAATCCCTGTGCCAATGGTGGCACATGCCGGCCACGGTGGGACGAGTATGAGTGTGACTGTCCACTTGGATATGATGGAAGACATTGTCAGAAAGGTGGGTCTCCTCACAGATAGCATCAGGAAGGTGGGTCTCCTCACAGACAGTGTCAGGAAGGTGGGTCTCCTCTTAGACAGTGTCAGGAAGGTGGGCCTCCTCACAGATAGTATCAGGAAGCTGGGCCTCCTCACAGATAGTATCAGGAAGGTGGGTCTCCTCACAGACAGTGTCAGGAAGGTGGGCCTCCTCACAGATAGTATCAGGAAGGTGGGTCTCCTCACAGACAGTGTCAGGAAGGTGGGTCTCCTCTTAGACAGTGTCAGGAAGCTGGGCCTCCTCACAGATAGCATCAGGAAGGTGGATCTCTTCACAGTCAGTGCGAAGAAGGTGGACCTCCTCTTAGTCAGTGTCAGAAAGATGGGTCTCCTCACAGGCAGCATCAGGAAGGTGGGTCTCCTCCCAGACAGTGTCAGAAAGGTCAGCATCCTCACAAAGAGTATTAGGATGGTAGAGACCTCTGTCATGGTAGAATCCTGGTTAGCTCCATTTCCTCTTGTGTGTGGTGTCCTCTAACAGCAGTGTCTCCTTTCTGCTTTCTGTCTCTGCCATGCAGAGTGTGGAAACCACTGTTTGAACAGTAAGTTTGTATATACAACCATCCACAGATATTTTAAAGGAACCATTCTCTGCTCAAGAAGCATAAAACAGTATGCTTCATTGTATATGTGAATGGATCTCATATTGAACAAAATGACAGGTTCTGGTATGGAATCATTCAATAATGCTCCTTAATTTAAAAACTGCTGCTGGCTCCATATAGTGATCCATCAGCTAAATTAGTTTATCAAAGCTGTCTACCTCTCTTCAGTGGTGACAGACGCCATTGAAACTCCTCAGTTCATTGGGCGAAGCTACCTCACCTATGACAAAAAGGACATCCTCAGGAGGTAGGGGACCTGTGATGGCAGTGTCTGTGGGTTAGGTTTTGCTGGCAGCTCTGTGAGGTCAGGTCTTTCTCTGCTGAGACACCATATGTTCCCGATTCAGAGTCTCTGGTTCGAGGACAAATGTGTTCATGCGATTTAAGAGCACAGCCAAGGATGGACTTTTACTGTGGAGGGGAGACGGTCCAATGAGAGTCAACACTGACTTCCTATCCTTGGGGCTGCAGGACGGAGCAATTGTCTTCAGGTTTGTATAGTCTACCTGTCTATTTACCTGTCTGTTTGTTTGTCTGTTTACCTCTCTATCTGTCTGCCTATCTCTCTATATACCTGACTGTATGTTTGTCTGTTTTCCTGTGTATCTGTTTGTTTGTCTGTTTACCTCTCTATCTGTCTGCCTATCTCTCTATATACCTGACTGTATGTTTGTCTGTTTTCCTGTGTATTTGCTTGTCTGTATTTGTCTGTGTGTTTGTCTGTTTTTCTGTATGTCTGCCTGCCCGTCTCAGTCTGTTTTCCTGTCTATCTGTCTGTGTGCCTTCCAGTTTACATCCCCAGTTATATATGCACGGGAGTCTGTTGGCTTGCCGTCTTGCTGCCTGCCTGTCACCTCCTTTCTGTTTCTCCAGCTACAACCTGGGCAGTGGCATCGCCACGGTGATGGTGAATGGCACGTTCGGAGATGGCCGATGGCACAGAGTCAAGGCCGTCAGGTTTCACTCACACTACAGGATGAGTCATGTCAAATACACAGCCTTCAAAATCAAATAGAGGCCAAATTCAGAATTAATATAATGATTAATTTATTCTGAAAAGGACGCACTACTGTTTATGATTGTGTAATGTTTGGACTCACAACTGAAAGAAAAAAAAAGAGTTTTAATAATAAACAACAATGAGGCTTAACAGGCGTCTGCTGGCCCCCAGAGACGGACCATCTGGGAAGCTGACAGTGGACGATTATGGAGCCAAAACGGGTCGGTCACCAGGGAAGATGAGACAGCTCAACATCCATGGCGGTCTGTATGTGGGTGAGTTTGTCCTGCAGGGGGCGCTCTTCGTCCATATGTTACTGGCTCATGGTGAGGAAGGTGCTGACAGCAGTGGTTTTCCTTGCTTTAGGAGGCTTGAAGGAAATTGCCCTGCACACCAACAAGCAATACATGCAGGGTCTAGTGGGCTGTATCTCCCACTTCATTCTTTCCACCGACTACCACCTTTCTCTAGTAGAAGATGCTACTGACGGCAAGAACATCAACACCTGTGGCAACTAGGGAGGTACTGCCCCCCACTGCCCTGGAGGACTGCCAGAAATCACATAGCTGGCACAGCACGAAATTCAAAGGGTTTATGGTTTGTGTTGATATAAGCCATGAAAACCATTACAACAGATATGAGTTTATTTTTTTGGTCTTTGTAGAAATATGATGAATCATAAATAATTTGGATGGGGTTCCAAATGTGTAGATCATGGCTGGAAAGGGTGATGCCAGTTGGGACACCAGCAGGAGTGTGGTCAATGGGGTGGGGTCATTTTGGGAATGTTGGACAAGGGTGGGGTCATTTTGGGAATGTTGGACAAGG